CCCCATCTAGGAACTGTACGCAGCTGGGGAGAACCGCCTGGGAACAGATGAGTCCAAGTTCAATGCAATCTTGTGCGCCCGGAGCCGGGCCCATCTGGTGGCAGGTAAGGCAGTCCCAGGCCTCCCTGGGCCAGGTAACCAGGTCAGACACGGTATGGTGGGGAAAGGGAGCTTGCAGGAATGCTTAGCAGTTCCTCCCTGCACGGGACTTTCACTTCCTAGTGGTAAAGGGGGCCAAATATATGGTGACAGAAGATGATTTGACTTTGGGTGGTGGGCACATAATGCAATATGAAGGTCATATGTCATAGAAATGTACACTTGGCCCGGCCGGGCGTAGCTCAGCGGTTGAGCGTCGACCGAGGATCCAGGTGATTGGGGTTCGATTCCCAGTCAGGGCACATGCCCGGGTTGCGGGCTCGATCAATGACTCTCTCATCATTGATGTTTCTATCTCTCTCTCTCCCTCGCCTTTCCTCTCTCTGAAATTAATAAAGATATATTAAAAAAAAAGGAGAAAGAAATGTACACTTGAAACCTATATGATCTTATTAACCAATGTCATCCCAATACATTTAATAAAACAGAAAAAAAAAGATATTATCAGCCCAGAATGGCCCACACTGTGGAGCCACTGACAAAGAAGATCTTTAAAGGAGTTTCAATAACGTAATTTGTGGGCATTTTGGGAGCATGTATTTTGTTTAATAAGATGAACACAAGCTAAAGTTTTAGGCAAACAATGAGCAAGAAATTTCCCTTCATCTTGGAAGTTTATTACAAACCCATTCAGACATCCTGTCTGGGTCTACATAACTGTGGCCAGGTGGTCTCGAACACAAAAAGTGGTTTGGCCCTGGCTGGGTGGCTCAGTTGGTTGGAGCATTGTTCCAACTCCAAGGTTGCAAGTTCAGCCCCCAGTCAAGAATCAACCAATGGGTGCATGGATAGGTGGAACAACAAATCAGTGTTTCTCTCTCTCTCTCTCTCTCTCAAAATCAATAAATAAAATAGAAAAGAGAAAGATTTGTAAGACAATCTTGGGATTGTGAGTCGGTGATGTTACCTTAAGAGCAGAAAGAGAACAGAGCTATACATTTTCATGCTTAACAGGCTGTGTTCTTCTGTTACCTTAAGCAGAGTGTACCTTCTGAAACTTGCTTTACAGGCAGGTCTATGGGCCCTGGGACATGCCTGCATCCCAGCNACACAGTCACAGCGTGGCTGTGACTCCTAAGAAGGGCTAATTTATCCTAACCTGGCAGGNGCATCCCAGCGTGGCTGTGACTCCTAAGAAGGGCTAATTTATCCTAACCTGGCAGGGAAGATACCATGATTGAGAAGGTGGTTTTCCCAGGGTGAGGCTTATCCATTGCACACTGGGTGTGCTCACGCCCTCTCCCGGCATGGGAAACTCAACTGCATAATTTGTGGTAGTGGGGGACTGCGTTCGTGCTCCCCCGTTAAAAAAATAGTCCATTCAGTATTCTGGAATGTATGGAATCAGAGCAAGATCAGAAAGAATGGTGGCCAGCAAAAGTTATCCATGTGGCTACTGATCAAGGTTTCCCGTTTCCTTGTATCAGGCAAGGTTAAAATGCCAAAGTTGACATGGATGGATTTTGGAATATTTAAGGCAAAATATAAATTCTAATTAAGCCAGAGGTTTTACTCATTGGAGTAACTGAAGAAATTGATAGAAGGCCCTCACCAGGTGGCTCGTTTGGTTGGAGTATTGTCTGTGCATGAAAACGTTTGCAGGTTTGATTCTTGGGTGGTAAGGATTGAAAAAAAGAAGAGAAATTGATGGAAGGTATGCTTGTTATGTTATAAAATTTTGTTTGAACTACTTAAAATAACGTTTTCTATTTTAAAAAAAACCTCACTTGTAATTTTGAATATATAAACTTTTCAAAATAGATAAAATAGTAACATCTACTTTTAATATTAAATTTTAGTTCACACATTTAAAATCTCATTATCTAAAATTGTGTTAACTAGGAATACTGCTTCGATCCATTTCCTGAAGCAGCACTATCCACACTCATACCTTTGCCATCAATGTCCCTGGCACTATTCGAACCACTGTTTAAAAACAGCCGTACCAAGGAATAAATATTTGCCATATATATGTATCAGCAAGGTTCCCGAGTTTCTGCCAGCGCCGGAGGAAATCACAGGAGGAGGTGAGGAAAAGGTCAGCCTCTCGGCTGGTACCTCTAGGATCTGGAATGTTAGACTTGAGAGAGTCTTCAGAAGCACCAAATCCAATGTTTTCCAAAATGTGGCATAAAAAAGTAAGGGTAACAACTAGTAACGCTAAGTAACATTTTAGTCATTCAAAGATCTATATATTGGGCTCCTGACACACGCAGGGTCATGGAGTCGTGTGGGAAGCGGTGGAGAACAGCACTACATAACCTCTGTTCTCATGGGGTTCACCTTGTTTGCAGAGACAAATTAAGTAAAACCTGTACCAGATGGCACGTCATTTAGGGAAAATAGCAAAGTGGAAGACAGAGATAGGGAGTGTTGAGGACTGGGGGGTGCTGGGGCAGTGCTCACAGAGGTGATATGCGGCATTTGAGTTAATGCGAAGGAGTTGCAGGTGCACAGGCCCTGAGTGGGGGGCTCCCTGGATGACCAAGAAACTGAAAGGGGCTGTGGGGCTGGAGCAGCTGGAGTGAGAGTGGTCAGATCAGAGATGGCGGGAGGCCCTGTGACAATTACATGGACTTAGGTCTTTATCCTGAGTTAAACAGGAAGCCGTCGAGGACTCTGAGCAGAAGAGAACATGACTTAGGTTTTGCAAGTTCACCGGCTGTTGTGTTGGGAAGGGTGAAGGGGTCGATGGCAGATCAGGACACCATTTAGGAGGCTGCTGCATATCCAGAGGAGAAATGACAGTGCCTTGGGCCAGGTGTCAGGGGCTGGTGGTGAGAAGGGGCCAGCTTCTGGCCTTGTTTGTCAATGAGTCGGACGTGGAGTGTGTGAAGGAAGCAGTCAGGGATGTGACATATCATTTCTTCTGACTGTGCCAGTGGAATAATGAGCTTAGATGG